GTCAGCGACGAGCATACGTTGGCGTAAAGGAGAAAGGGGAACGGACGAAAAGAAACTGCGTCGCGCGAGAGACGCGCGAGAGGACTTGAGAAGCGCCGGCAAGCACGAGAAGTCGCGATCGCGATACGCAGGTATCTCGTGGCCGCGCGAAAGGCCGGTGAAAGTGGGAGGAGGATTGGCGGGAGAGCTCCGTGGGTTCGTAGGATTAATTACTATTATAATGAATTTCATATTACCATAGGAGTTGTGAAACTGCGGATGGTGCGAGTCGATCCCGGTTCCTGGGTGGTGCATGTCCAGCATGGCGTCCGGCTCGCCTCCGCTCTCAGAGCAGTTGCTCAGGGCTAAAACCAAACCGATAGACACACACCTTGCGTTTACACTTCTCATCAGTCCTTATTTGGTATCGTCGTACCATTAGCCCGTTTATAATTTCTTTCTCTGTTTGTCCCTCCTGATTCCGGGTGTGCCCTCCGCTCCCGTTCCTTCCCTCGCTCGCGCTCACGCCCGCGCCCGCGTAAACCCGCGCAGACCCGCCTTTGGATTAAGCCGTGCGATCGTTTACGTATTAAATTGTCAAAGGGACCCGGGGAATCCGTCTGTGGACCTTCAAGAGCTCCCGAGAGACGGCGGCGGGTCAAACGCGAGTGGGAAGAGCGTCTCGCCTCCCCCGCGCGGATGTAAATAAAACAAGATTCGATTCTCAATTGAGACAAAGCGAATTCTCGAAGTGAATCTAAAAATCCGGAGAGCCCCCCACGATTCGCGAGAACTTAAATGGCTCGTAAATCCAAATACTCGAGAATTCGAAGAAACCTTGAAAAATTCGAGAATTCGTAAATCCGAGGATTTTTAGAAGGAGAACCCGAGAGAGAATCTCAGGAATCTACGCCGCGACCGAAAATTCAGTTACCCAAAAATTCCTCCCCCGCGAACAAAAAACGCGGGAGAATTCACTGAACCCAGCGTCCCCGAGTGCGCGAATTTTTAAGAAAACGGCCGATTTACGTTTCTAGCGAGCCAGGAGAGGAACGACGCGGAGGTAGCTTGGACGAGGAGCGCGACGAGTAAACTGATTAGTGTATTAAAGAAAAGGATTTCACGCGCGAATGACGATTATCGCGCGTTTCACGAAAATTCCGCGCTCCATTTCGTTAAGATTGAACCCCACATTGTGCGCGCTAGCCGCTGCTTTCCATCAAACGTACGCTCAACGGAAAACAGAAACGACAAGATCACAAAAGAACGGAAAAGCACACTTCAAGAAAGAAATCATACAACATAAAACGGGGCGATGCACACACTTGACTTAAGGCTCACGGTAAACTTATAAAACTAAAGTAACTAAAATGTGAGTAACGGGGTAGCGGTATCTTTGCCGAGCCGATCAATCATCCTCGTCGACATGTCGTAGGCCGAAGTTAGGGATATCAGATAACATAGAATTTGAGACACTGGGATTTTAATTCTCTTTTCCTCCACTTTAAAAAAAAAAGCAATAAAAATCTTCAACTTACCATGCTCTTCGTAACTTCGTTATTGTCTCGTTAAGGATTGACATTTCCGAGGTTTCGGAAAAAAAAAGTAAACAGAATAGCTGTCTCTCATTTCTATTAAAAAAGCGCTCTCTTAAATTCGCGCCAGATCGTTGACAATAGCCGAATAGTTGAAAAAAATTCGATCGTCAAAGATACTGCCACGTCGAATTTCTACGAAATTCCCCAAAGCGTTTGAGTGTCTCAAAAAAATATATTTTTGTCGGGGGAAAATAGAGCGGGATGTGGGATATATATACGGGAACGTGATACGAGGATACGTAGGTTGTTGTCCCTGGTAAAACAGAAAACGAAAAAACAGGGGAAAACCAACTAAATCCAGCGTTCAATCGCAGCGAAATATACAGGGTGCGAGAGGAGTTACCCCCCGCGCGCGCACGTGATTTTTTGCAAAAAGAGCGTCCATTACAGAATGCTAGGAGCGTGTGTCAGAAAGATGAAAAAAAGATTTTTGCAATCGTCAATTACAACAGAAATGTCACTTACCGGATTTTACGACGGTAAAGTCCGAATGTCTTCATACGACAAAAAAAATTATATATATATACATATATAAAATCAATATAAATAATTAAATACGCGTCACAACGTTTTTCTTTTTTAGAAAAAAAAATAATTATAATTGCAATAATTTTGCTTTTTTTCTTTCTTTTCGTTAAATCACGAATTCCTTTGATTTTCCTCGAAATCCTTTTATCTTCCTTATCTCCTCGGTAAATTATCGCTTCGCTCGTTTGCGAGACGGCAAAAAAATTGACGCACGTCCCTTTCTGCAATGATCTCGACTCGCTTTGCGATTCAAGATCGAGAAACGCGGGCCGCAGCGCGTGCGGAGGGGGGGAACGATCCTCGCGCGCCCTGCGAGGCGCGCGGTCTTTCTTTCGCGGACGAATCTCCTCTCAAGGCGAGGAGACGATGTTAAAAGGCAAAATTTAGGCGGAGTCCTTCGTGGTGCGTTTGTCTATCCGTTTGGTTAGGTCGAGACATTTACATCTTTTTTTTTCGCGCACGAACGGAGGAGAAGCCCGTTCGGCTCTCTCTCTCTTTCTCTGTCTTTCTCTCGGACGGAAAATCAAATCGAGATGCTGCGCGCGAGTGCGCAGCTCTTTCCTCCCCTACTTTTGAAATTCTCGGCTGGATATCTTCCTGTGCTGGGTGTCCTGCCGACGATCATCTTCGGACGACGACGACGACGACGATGACGACGGCGAGGACAAAGGAAGACTGTTTGCAAAATTGTACAGGGAGAGACGAGAACACAGAAGAGGAGGGGGAGGCCACACACACGGAGACTCAAGACGAGGAACAAAAGTACGAGGCGAGATCATCGCGAAATGTTATCGTTATCGGGGTACGATTCTTGCGATTCTTCTCGCGTAAAAATTCGGGAGGTGAGGTGGGAACCGTAAAAGCGTTGCGAATCGTCCTGCGAAGGGGGAGGGGAGTCTTTCGCGAGGAAATCTGGAGAGAGAAGTGCGGCATTAATGAGAACCACCGCCGTATGCAGAATTCGAGAAAACGCGGGGAAAACGAACGAAAAACGTCGCTTTCCTTCGTTTCGCGTCGCGTTCGTTCACTCGCGATCTTCGCGGCCGCTTCCGCCGCGCGATCGATATTCGAGAAATTCATTGTGCCGATTTCTTATTTTAGTCGAGCGAGGTAAGCTGCCGCGTTAAGTAAGAATTATACTTGCCGGAATTTTAATACGCGCCCCTCTTCGCTGCGCATGAAAATTTGAGAGAGGAGTCGCGAGAGTGATACACTTTATATTTGTGCTAATTAAACGTGCCGAATATGATACTATGCATGCCGCCCGGGAATATGCTCTCGATATGCACGCCGTTAATATTACAGACAGCGGCTATTTTCGCCGCTTTCGAGATCCAGATTCCCATATTTAGCCTCGGTTAATCGTAATCGTCGACTTTAAACGTGTTACACGAAGGTATGTGTGCCAAAACAACGCGGAGTCGACTCGTTAAAAGCGGCGGCCGTCTCGCGGTTCCCATCAGGAGTGTCGACCTCGAACAATTTGCGAATCCCGCCTTATCCGTTATCGATATCTCACGGCGATCTTCTCGCCCGAGGAGAGCGACCTGGAGAGCGACCTCGCCGCCAGAGATCGATCTTAATTCTCGAACAATTCTAAAACGGGGCTCTTTATCTTATCGCGCGCCGCCACAGTAATTAAGCCCCCGTTCGTTCGTTTTCTGCAAAGAGAAAAGAATATCAGTAGGAAATGGAGCGAAAATGGCGGACGCTTCTCGAAGATTTCCACCGCGTGGCACCGTCCGCCTCCGAATTTCCTTTTCTCACGGGGTGTCGTCTCCCCTCTCTCTCTTTCTCTTTCTCTCTCTCGTTTCGTACCACCCTGTACGTACGCGGGACACGTACGTAACAGTTGCGAACTACGGCGTGTATGCGTCGTACAACAGAAAGCCGGTTCCCACTGAGCACCCCGTTTCTACTACGTCTACGTGATGGAGAACGAGGGTACGGAGGTAGAAGAAAGAGAGACGGAGAATCCCGCAGGGGTGAGAACAGGAGAGAAGGAGAAAGACAGAGAGAGAGAGAGAGAGACTTCGTGTGGCGTGCGTTGTGTGCGGCCTACATACATATACAGGGTGTCCCGAGCGTACTCGCTGCCTTTCGGTCGCGAAAGATCCGTGCATTTGTCGTAAAACTAGGCGCGCGCGAACTGTCAGCTCATTGAAAGTTAAAATACTTTGGGCGAGTTGATTTCGGGGCACGGGAGCGAGATCTTATCGTTCGGATTTTCATTTCGTACGAAAATCCAATGCTTCGCTGTTGGTCGTCCAAGTATCTTTTATTGAGGAGCCGAGAGAAAAAGAGAGAGAGAGAGAGAGAGAGAGAGAGAGAGAGAGAGAGAGAGAGAGAGAGGAGATATATGCGCGATTTTAAATGAATATACTTTTGAACGGATTGGCTGGATTATATATTTGATCGAGTTTCTCACGGTCAGAAATTCAGCCGCGCCAGAGGCCCCCCCCCCCCGGGCACCCCCGGTACATATCACATGCGTGACGTGGTGGATGAGTCAGCCGGCGCGCGGTAGTGAGGTATCCGAGAAATTCGTCCAAAAACTTTCCGGAAATACGTATACGCCAAAAAGCAGGATGTGCTACTTTCGGAGCTACGATAATAGTCGAACGATTATCAATATTTAATCGCCGCACGGTTGGAAGTTGTACAGCCTTCTACGGCCGTTCCGTCTTTAGATCGTAGAAACAAGGACTTCTAGCTCTTTCGAACTACAGCCACTCTCGAGAGTCCCGTCTCAGCGCCGATATTCCACGAATTTTCTGTCTCTCTTCTCCCCCCCCCCTCTCTCTCTCTCTCTCTGTCTCTTTTTCTCTTTCTCTTTCTCTGTGTGGACTGTGGACAGTCATTTTTAAGTAATCAAAGACATTTTTATATATATTGCTATAATATTTTATATAAACAATTTATGATAATAATATTAGTGCAGTGTAATTTAATATAATTTATATACATTGTATATAAATATATATGTATGATATTTATGACTTTTATTTTTTTTAAATAAATGTTTAAACATCGCCCGATGTTTTTATAAAACCTCTGTGCAGTTGATCCTCTTACTAGGAATATGGAAATAAAAAAGAGAGCGGTTCAGAATTATATAAACTTTTAAATCTCGCAAATTAAAAATTTTTAAATTTTAATTTTTCGAAAAAGGAACTTCAATCAAGCTTCTCGTTCAAGAATTCGAGCGCTTATTTTCATACTCTTAAATCCCTTTTTCG